AATATAATCAAGGTCAAGGTAAAAGTCAAATAAAGGTCGCAGTGACCTGGTTTTGGTACTCTGCTCACCTTCTCCCCAAGATGTGTAAGTATACCAAGTTTGGTAGCGCTAGGTGAATTAGGGGTCGAGTTATAGAGCGGAAGGGAAATTGTCTGCGGCGGCGGCGGCGGAAGAGACATGAAACCATAGTATCCCCGCCGACTTCGTCGCGGGGGATACAATAATAAGCTCTTTCACACGTCAAACCACAATCAGTGCTGAATACATGCATGTACACGTTAACCTTGTAGCGGGAGGGGGGAATCCAGAACCATATCAAACTAATTGCACTTGTAGGTGTGTTGACAATATCGTATAGTGCGTAAATCTCACAACCACACAGAATTGTGCTACTACAAAGGGTCAACCACTTAACAGCTCCACCTACTGAATAGTACATGAATAGACAGACTAAGAAACCAGAAAATAAACGCACCGGTGACAGATGACATGCTGCTCGCAGGTCAGGTGAAAATTACAACACCGAGACGCATGCACACACACCTGACCTGTTTAAAATTAGGCATAGGGGACTTTACTAGAACATCTAGGAGGTGCCCGGTGATGTATCACTCTACTTAATCATTGCGACTGCCACCGGTCTAAGAACACGACGAGAATTAAATGAGTTAGACACACGAATTCCTGCCTGCGTGTCCGAGTCAGTGCAAATAAATGGCAAATCAACCGTGTTCAAACCGACAGACAGACTGACAGACAGATCGACCGACAGACGGACGGACAGACTGATCTAGAAACCAAATTCACACTGATGGCCGGGGACGCCATACCTTCGACAAAGTCTTAGAAATGGTTACGTCAACATCGTCCTCAGCTTTCATCCTGAAATCACCAATAAAAGAGGACAATGTCAATACTTCGAATACCGATTTCCATGTACTGATGAATGCACACTATATACAATACCCACTTAGCATTAGCAAGCTAGTGTAACATGATAAAAATATTATAGAAAGAGGGCGTGGGTGCGAGGCTACCAATTTATTCGTGGACTGCATTTTAAGATATTCGAGTACTTCTTACATTGAGAGTCGATTTCATTTTGCTCAATGGCAGCATTTCACAATACACGTGTAAATAGTGATATATGCTAACAGTTTCATTTTCAGAGCTGAGCTATGAAATTCAGTATGTGTTGTCACGTATTTTACCTGCCATAGACCATTAGAATGTATAGACTGAACGCTGCCGTTATATGCACAAGTTTTGAAAATAAGCTGTTACAGGCTTTCATCCACTTACGAATTTACATTGAGAATAAATACGCTAAATGTATAGCATTTCAACGTGGTAATCGGCGCACAGCCAATAACAGTATAGTGTAAATGCCTGCTGCACACAAAAGCATTGAACAGGTATGAGGAAGTTTAATAACCTCCTGCTTATTTATACATGCAGGTAGATTCCTGTTTGAACAGGTACATTTTACCTTTTACGCGCCTCATAAAAGCGCATAAATCCTGAAGGCAACCCTAAACCTGGGGGTCATGCGATGTAATTAACAGCATACTTCAAAAGTCCTGCCCCCCCCCACAAGATTGCATGACAAGCTTGCAGACGAAACAGGATTTATGTGTATAAATACAGCACACATGAGGCGTTGATGAACGGCGATTTTCTTATAAAAACCGCCGAAAACTATCTCGGCAGCAAGAAGTGGCGTAGCTGACTAGATTCTAACTGCGCTCTACCACGCAGGGAGCGATCCCCTACGGAGCACACGCTCACCAGCAGACCGTTTGCGTGCGACAACATGCGCGCAACTGTATATGTGCGCGCGCATGCAGTCGAAACGCAAACTTTCATGAATCGCACGAGAAATCAATCGCCTGTTAACATCCCGCCTGTACTGCATGGCAGGCAGCGTAAAAACCCGTCTGCGAGCAAATAGCTCCTCTACTCCACCCTATCCATCGACTTACATCAGCTAAAACGCACATAGGAGCATCGAGCAGAAAACTTTCCCACCAACATTATCACTCTTTCGCGGCAATGTTACACGCTGTTTTAACAAGGGTCCGTTCGTTGTCAGAAAGATATAGTCTAAATTTTCATAACTTTTATAGCGAAACGACGTGAAAATAAACTCCTAGATACTTCTAGTAGTTCTACGATTGTATTCATTTTGATTCGCGGATTGCGATGTTTTTGACAACAAGTCGCGGTTAATCTACGCGCTGCCACACGTTGGCAGGGTGCCAAGTGCAAACTTACCGGGAAGCCAGTCATATCTTCATCAGCTGAGTGGACCAGATTGTAAACGCTAATGAGCAATGCACATAGCCTATCAGCACACTTAAACCAAGAATGTATGTACGCCTGCCTGCATGTATGCCTACCTGCCTGCCTTCCTGCGTGACTGCCTCTTATTCTTGAGCTCTCTTATTCCTGTCGTTTGTGCACAGGGCGGGCGTGTGGTGTACTTGTGTGTTGCAGATGAGCATTTGACCGGCATTTACGGGTAATTATCGGCAATAATAGGCGAAATAGAGTAGAGAAACATTAAGACTTTGGTAGTAAATACATTTCGTGTTTATTTACCTTTTTATTTATTTATTGAGACGTTCGAAGTGCCTGTGTGCCCACCCGCCTGTCTACCTGCCTACCTACCTACCTTACACATATCAAATCATTTAAGAGCACACGCGTGCACGCACTTACCTGTGACTATACACGGAAACGCAAACACGCACGCACGCACGCACGCAAACACGAGCAGTAACGTACGCGCACACGCACACCTACAGGCACGCACGTACACACCTGCGTTAGCACACAAGCGCACACAACAGGCCACGAGGTCCGGTCGATCACCTCCGATACCCCTACATACATACACACACGCACAGGCGCACGCACATACACACGCACAGACGCACGCACATACACACGCACATACACACGCACACGCACAGGCGCACGCACATGCACACGCACACACACAACGACCTACCGCATCGTCACGGTGAATCGTGCGAGAAACAATCGCATTTCACGCTCAGTATGCATGACCACCCAAGTATAGGCACGGGAAGCAACGCCCCACAAAACTTTCGATTTCGCCCGGGATTACCGCCTAGCACTTATAATTACACGGGGCTCGACCGTATGGGAGAACATGCAGTAGCTTTCACCAGTGCATTCGAAAAAAAAAGTTCGAAAAAGCGGAAACGGCGAGAAAGCGGTTCTTGCGACGTACCTACAGACACACCTGCATCTATACATCCATCATTTTATATAACCACCGCTCAGCTATAGGTCACTAAGTTGACGCATATTACCTGATACTGATAGGTTTCCGAATGGCATTAACATCAAAAGCATCCCTCCGCGCTAAGACACGATGGCAGAATGACTTGCACGCGGCCGGCACGTATATACTCACTACACAGATAAGGCAGCAGCGGAGAAGGCTGCAGCCAGCCGCCGACGACGTACGCTCAGCTAACGTGGTGAGCTAGTAGTAGTATATGGCGAAGCAAGGCGCCTACATTACCCCCGCGTGCCACAAATAATCAATGAGCACACGAGCTTGCGTGGCGTGGAACGGTCAAACACTCCCACAGGGGTGGTTGAGAGTTCCAGTTAGCAGGTCTCGACACGCAGTGACGGCGTATCGCATCACAATTTGCAGGCATTTGCACGTGTTTTAGCGCCAAGTACGATTTCATAAACCCGCAATTTTAAAAGGGATTTTCGTCTTGCCGATTGGCGTTATATTTACCGCAAAAATTGCTCCCTCGCTCATACCCCCACCTCCCATTGCTCACCCTATCCATCCATTGTATGCAAAGAGACAGAATACGTTGCCATGCGTACGCATAGCTTGTCCGCGCTCTCTCCTCTAGTCACTTTTAGGACGTCAATTCACATCAATTAGGACATCATTCACGCAGCACCACTCCTAGCCGAGTCTCTCAACATTATATAACTGTTAGATCTGCACACCAATGGAAGAATATCCAAATCAAAAATCTATACACACACTATCATTGGCTTACTATTGGCATAGTGACCATTACTGAGTATATTCCATGTACATACGCGTTTACAAGAAATATTTCGTATTCGTATGCCCATATAAAGGTATCTTTGGCAACGGCGCATATATATATATATGATTATTTATGATACCACACAATTCGAAAGTTCCATATGCACAGAAGTGTATTGAAACTTCATGTTATATTTCCACAGTTATGTAAAACATTGTGGAAAAGTAGGAACAACAAAACATTTTCCACGGTGACAAAAAGTATTGCGTACACTCTAAATAACGAAGACATGGACTTCGTTGGAAACATTGGAAACATGAGTCATGACACATGACACATTGGAAACATGGAAGATAACAACACGGACTGATGAAACAGGAAAACATTATAAAGTACTTGATATTTGAGCAAACCAAAAAAAATTAACGTAAAACTGTTTTGATTGTGCAGAAGTGATTAAAGGATCTTCATGATTTAACCTACCCAATGCACTTCCGTACGTTTTACATGGTGGATTCTGGAATGGGAATATCAACCCGTGCATCAAACATTCATATAAAGACGACCATGCAACGCGTTTGTTTCCAGGCACTTATTAAAATTATCCACCAAAAATTACAAATTTCCCAGCGGGAAAGAAAAGGCTCCACCCACTTTCTAGATAAAATCGTGTAACTCAAAGTTGAAACCCGATCAAATTGAATGCAGCTGTCAAAATGCTTTTTTAGACATCCTCTCCCAACCACACTATTTTGGTACCCCCCACAAAAAATACAAGACGGTGATTGATCATATCGCAAAACTAGCTAATTATAATCTACTAATTAATACCACTAGTTCACAGTCGGAGTACTGCCTCATTACTGTGCAGTGTGCACAGGTGCGTGGTAATATCAGGAGTAAGATAATATAGGATAAGATCCTATATTATCTTACTCCTGGTAATATGTGTACAACGGTCTGTAAATACCATCAATTACTACTCTTAGTTATTACCTAATTACATTGCAACAAGTTAACTTGCTACGGAATATGGGTGCTCTGAGCTCTCCCTATATTGTCACACCTACCATCAGTAAAACTGCTTGCATATAATGCTAAAATCAAATTGGTTAATAGTTATAGTTTCAAACTGAAAGCGCTTTCTGTGTGGGTCGGTTTGCGTTGGTGTGTTATAGGTTCGTATCATCAACAACTACATGTAAATTCCCTCTCCTTATCAGATATCCAACTAACCAACCACTAAACTATAGTAAGAGATGAAGCTAAATGGCATTCTGTAATTATTGATGCACATATGGATAAAAAAAAAACACCTACTAGAACTAACTATTAAATGCAAGTCATATCTGTATTTTTGTTATAGCATAATATCAAATGACACAAATTGTAACCTAAATACTGTGTTGATTTACTACATGACAGCGATACACAGATGTAAAAGACCACGCACCCGAGTCCACAAGTGTACACATGAGTACACAAGTGTACACATGAGTACACAAGTGTACACATGAATACACAAGTACTATGTCGTATCTCACACTCAGCATTTCGATTAGTGTGGATACTATTGTTGTAGCAATGGAGTCTTATTGAATTTTACAAGAAAATACGCTATCAGGAAAAAATCGGAACCGGCACAACCAACCTGTCCAATTTGTCCGACCTTGCGTTGTCACACGTAGCAAGTACAATAATTTTCATGAACACAACACTTTATATTGTATTGTTTTTTGAGAAATGTGCCTATCACGCACACACACGCAACATGCACACACACACGACTACCAACTACCTACAGGGAGAAGTATACATGAATTTAAATCCTATTTAAATATAACACCTAATTTGACTTGTAATCTGACGAAGATTACTGGTTCGTTGTCATACCCATCTCAAAAGAAACTGAGCTCCACTCAAGCCGTCACCATGTTGCTTTGTTAAAATTCCCACAGACATACCTTCAGCACTATACAGCAAGATCTTTTCTCATGTCTATTCTCTGGCCTTCATGATTACGGTGGAAGCTGGTTGAAATCAGTCCAAACTGAAACTGATATATGGTTATCCTGTTATTTTACAATATACGTGCAAAAAGTACAATAGAACATGTAGACACGTAGTTTTTTTAATTAGCATCTAGGCATATTACTTAGAAATTTTTATTTTTACTTTAAATAATAATTACTTTTAATTCGGTTACTTCATGGTATTTGCTAAACTGTCAAATATCTTTTATATTCAAACGTCATTCATACTATACCTTCAAGAGCTCATCAACTAGCTTTGTGCACATAAAACAGTTCATGAGCCCTTGATGTATCTCAATAGAATACGTCATATGGAACAACATCTTATTAGAACTAAATTTATGTCACTTAGCATCAACAAAGTCATCTGAATCATTATTTAATAGATGGCCTCACAACGAATTACTTAACCAACATTCAGTATGGCTATAAATTTCCAAAATGATCTACTATTATATTTGACATTATTTGTACAACTGTGGATGCAGTTAAGACAATGCTGCTCACAAACACCCCTAACCGACAAAAAACAACTAAGAGGTAATGCAAAATTAATAATGTAGTCAGCATAATGTAGTAGCACCACACAAAGGCACATGGGCTTTTAGATTACTGCTGGTGCTGGCGTGCCAGATGTGGCCTATCCCAGAATCAACAAAAACTGTGATGGATGTGCTTTGTGCTGGTCAGAAATCTAAAGATGGAAAAACCCCTCTGGCATAATAACTGTGTAAGCGTAACATGAACTGCACGTGTCTTTCTAGGACCTGACGTAAAACTCGAAGGTATAGAATCATACATACAAACGCACACATGCAAGAACGCACACACAAACACACGCAATTGAATACCAAACATACTTGTATTTAGCTCAACCAATGATAATTGTGGCAGCAGGAGTATGTGTGTAGAGCTCAACTGCATGTCTATCAAATTGCATACAATGAACAGGTACACAACTTTCAAATATGATTTCTCCCTTCGCTTATGTTTTTAATCGTTTCAGCACTAGCAATGTCTAATTAAGAAATACCGAGCACAAAAACCTTAAACAATATTGGAACTGCAGAAGCATTTGGAACCATCATGAATGTACAAATGATGTACCAATAAAATGGTCATAATTGCATTATAATGCTAAAATTTAGGGTTAACTTATTATATATCATTGCAGTCCAGCAGTGCATGCATTCTAGTGCTAAACAAGTCCCACGATTGAGATAGAGCAAATGAAGAGCAAATGAAATGTGAGACTTTCACAAGTGCCCTAACTGGCTTGAGATATGAAAGTCATTGCTACTAATTGTATGTTTACTACGGGTGTGTTTGTTTGGCCGGATAATTGATATCGATCACACAAAACCTATGATATTGCCCTTTTTTGACTGATTCATGATCCTATTGCTAAGGATTCAACCAGATCCAATATGGCATGTGAAATTAGCCAATCAGTGCTCACTGTCACTTATGCAACGTGCTGTAATACTAGTCACAATTTACAGGTTACTCAATGTCTCTTTGTTTGGAACGGATCTGTCTGATCAGGATCGCTTGATGCTGATCTGCCCAAAGAAATGCAAACCCACTTCCAACAGATCACGCTCCCCTGTGACCTATCACAGGATGGTTCATAACTAACAACAAGCAGTGATTGGCTGAGTCACATGCTGCCATATTAGATCCCCTTGGAATCCACCTATCAGCAGAGTCAGCAATTTGTGATCCGGATAAGTGATCGGCCTAAACAAACGTGCAAGACTACTGGATACGTCTGATCCAGATCATATGATCAGATCCACCCAAACAAACACGCCCATGGTGTGTGTCTCTGGGTAGATTACCATCAGTGGTATCTATATACTAAATAAACATGCCCAACATTCATAGCTACAGAAACCCATGTTACTATTGGATCTTATGTTGTTATAGGTAACATACATCAGGTTTGTCAGGTGAAACAGAAGGCTGTTCATAATAATAACGCACAAAGGGTTGTTGTCGTATCAGGTACTACATATATGTACCCAAGGTAGTTTTAGGTTGTTTAGTATTATGTTTATATTTTTATATGAGGTATGTTTAGGGTTAGGGTTAGGGTACACTTCTGTAGTACAAGTCTGGTACACTTTGTGTATACATATATGTACCTCGGGTACACATATGCAGTACCTGATACGACAACGACCCCTTCCGCAATAATAACTGTAAGCACCATATCTTCCTGCAATGGCAGTTATTAAATCATAAAAATGCAGCAGATGAATTCGCCTGAGGCAGCAATGAGAACAATAATGAATACAATACATGCAATTGAAGCAATAATACATGCAATTAGTGACATGGTCGGTTCAAGGATAGAGATGACATCCAGGACGGTGATAGAATAGGATCAGGAGTAAGATAATATAGGATCTTATTATACCTAGGATACCTAAGATACCTAGGATCTTATTAAACCTATATTATCTTACTCCTGATAGGATGATGTTTATTTAACAATGGACATGCTCTCTATCTTTGAGCCACATGGTCTTGCAATGCATGACGGTTCTTGGAGCTACAGATGAAGTACTAGTACTACTACTTTCGTACTTGTATCTTGTACCTTGGGGTCCTTCTCTTGTATTTCACAAGGCACTGATTCTCTCTTTGGAAGACTGCAACGGCCGGAGCAAAGGGTACACCGACAGCAGTATACGAGTCGAGCGACATGCAGATACACTACCTTAAATTATAAGCATTTGAAACATAGGCACTACTACTAGTACTACTACTAGTAGGCTTACTAGACTAGAGCTGCAAGTTCAACATTGACTGAGTCAGTGAGTGGGATTGCAATAATTAGGTACAATAACTGAAGTGAAGAGTGCACAACTGCAAACGTTATATGAAGCCTGAGCATTATCTTGAGCCTGAGGCAAAAACTCATATACATATATACCAACGATATGCATTTTATAGATACTAGGCCTACTTCAGTATCAATGACAGTACAGTAGTAACTAGTAGTAGTAGTAGTAACTAGTATACTAGTATGCGTATCATTATCAATCATGTAAAGTTTACACACCAGTCAGTGAGGCTAGTCACCAGTCACCACAACATACAAACCACATACAACCACATACAACATACAACCACATATACAATGCCAAAGATTTCACTAAGTTCAAGAATTAGATGTTCTTTGTGAAAAGTCTTATGAAATAATTTACCACAAGCCACAACAGATAACGAAATACTTACGGAATTAAAACATTCCAAACGTAAGGACAGACACTCAATCAAACAGAAAGCTCATCAATATATCAGGCGGAGCTTCATGGGTACAAACTAACACCAGATGTCGCACATGTGAGCATAGTCGTGACATCACAAGTATGGCTGCGCCCATGAAGAAGAAACATGTAACAAAATTATCCAAAACGAAACGACGATTGCAGAATTTCGCGAAGCAAATTTTGAAGTTCAATTACAGGGAATACTGTAGTAGCTTACTTTTCGACCCACGTTTTACTTGGACTGTTGCGGCACTTCTCCTTCTAGCTGAAATAGTTGTGAATTTATTGGTTATCAACCATGTCAAATGTAGGTACCCAGACTCACACTCACACTCACAGTCAGGCACTTGCCTTGGACCGTCTCAATAAAAAAAATTAATGGTAAATAAACACGAAATATACCAAAGTCTTCATGTTTCTGGGCTCTCTTATTCATGTTGTTTGTGCACAGCGCGGGCGTGCGGTGTACTTGCGTGTTGCAGATGAGCATTTGACTGGCATTTACATTATACAGGTGATTATAGGCGAAATAGAGTAGAGAAACATTAAGACTTTGGTACATTTCGTGTTTAATTACCATTAATTTTTTTTATTGAGACGGTCTAAGTGCCTGTGCCCAGACTGTCACTATACTGTATCATGTATGATTGATAGTGTCTATGTATTGTATATGTGTCTATGCCTATGGCTAAAGGCTGGCTATGTATCAGGGGCGTAAATCCGTACCGAGGAGTGGGGGGATGATCGGCGATAGACATCACATACTAGCACGAGCACAAGCCCACAATAATTTATGCACACGCGCGCGATCACGCACGCACAAACATACACACGCAAACGAACAAACAACAAACACACAGACGTACATACATTTATACATGCATACATACATGCACGCACATGCCAAATTTGACAACCATAAAGAAAAAAATATGGACATATTTCGAAATACTGACAGCTGCAAACTGTAGTGTTTTATTATAATGAATTCCGAAAGGAAACGGCACCCTTTTAACCTCGGCTGCCACAGGCAGGCCCGCGTGCCGTAGGCATGCCAGTGCTAGGGGGGGTCTGGGGGCATGCCCCCCAGAAAATTGTGAAATATTTAAGCCATTTTCCTGCAATCTGAGGCATACTGTGGGCCATATTCTCATGTCTGATGACACTATCTCAACCCTAGACTCAACCCTACAAGTTAGGATTCAAAACACTTTCATGACTTTTCAGATAGCGTACACCGTTAGGTTACTATAGTAATAATACATGTATTAAAACACAGGTAAGAATTGCAATTTCTCACAATTTCACGTGTTTTTGTATGTTTGCAACCATACTTTTTGGCCATTTGTGAGTCTGGAAACATTTTCTTGAAGAGTTCATTTGCATGGTCTGCCGCCCTCAAAGGCACATTGTGTTCAAGTAAATAA